GCTGCAGGGGAAGAGGCGCAGGCACGCCACCGCGTTCCCCTTCCACAAGGCCCGGGGCCCCTCTGCCCGCCACACGCGGTGCCCCGTGGCCCACGGCCCCCGGGCGTGGCCTCGCACGACGCCAACCTGGGCCAGCACGGTGGCGACCTCCAGGGGCGCGGTGAGGCTGAGGCTGAGCGCCCCCGCCAGCCCAGCACACAGCAGCCTTTGGCCGCCTGTCAGTCGGCCGTCCCGCCTCCACGTCGCCATCGAGCCCCGGCCCGGGCCCGGGAGACCGCGTGGCTCGGGCCTGGGGCTCTCCGGCCACGGGCGGAGGGGGCGGAGGGGGCGGGCCCCAGGCCCCGCCCGGCATGGGGCGGACCCGCGTGAGGGACGGGAAGCCCCGTCCACGCCCTAGCCCGGCCCGAGGCTGGTGGGGGTTGGGGCGCGAGGGCCCGGAGGGTCTGGGCTCCGAGGCCGCGGATATCATGGGCATAGTCTCCCCAGTTGGCAAGGCTCGAGTAGCGACTTTCAGTTGCGAAACAGTCACTGTTCTTTCAAGGCCCGGCCTGCTAGACATCTTGCTTCCTAAATGTTCAGTGCATCCCCGCCGCCCCTCCCTGCCTCTCCTCTGGTTTGCCCCTTTTCTCCCTTTCACATCCCACTTCTCTGTCTTCCTCCCCTGGCTCTTCCCTCCTCCTCCTCCTCTTCCTTCCAACCTCTTTTTTTTTTTTTTTTCCCTGCCTGACCAAAAAGCCTTGATGGTTTCCCAGTGCAGAAGGTAAAAAATTCTAACAACCACAGCTATCTCTCAAGCACTTGTCAAGTACTGGGCTTTCCAGACGTTCTCATGTAATCCTCAAAACCGCCCTACGTACGTATGTCCTCATTGACAGAGGCTGTGTGGGTGTGGGGATTTGAATCTGGACTCTTGAAACTGCTAAGATTCTTGGCTCTGCAGCTTACCAGCTGTGGAACCTTGGGGAAGTCACTCAACCTCTCTGTGCGTCAGTTGCTTTATAAAATAGAGATGATAATTTTTTTCTCCTAGGGGTTGTTGTAAGGGTTAATGAACAATGACTGGTACGAGTAAGCAGTTCATATGTGTTCGTTCTAATTAGGTATTCTTTTATAGGAGAGGAAACCAAGACACAGAGAGGACTTGCTCAGGCTCACACAGCTACCTACAAAGCAGAGACTGGTTTGAAATCTAGGTCGGTTTATGTCAATTTCCATTAACGGCTACACTATGCGTCTACTAGGACTGCAGAGTTAACTCCAGTAGGGACATTTTCAGTGGTTCTGTAAGCTAAGAGAATAGAGGCAAAGAATGGCTAAGAGAGGCTTGGCCAGAATCCAAGCATTCTTTAATCAGTTCAAAAATTTCAGAATTTCAGAATTTCTGTCTCTTTTTTTCTAAAAAAGCCATATCACTAATAATTACAAGGAAAGGAACAGTCAGCAGTCTGTTGGTGTGAGCAAGATGTTCCGCATACATAGTTGCTTTTAGGCTTGTATAGTTGTTTATGTTTACTAACACACAATGCTGTAGGAACGTTTTCTAAAAGGCATTGCAGGGTTTCTCCTGTTTATTTTTCACTGTTAGTCTCACTTGAGATTACAAGGTTTTGACTGTGAGAACTTGTTCTAGTTGCAGAAGCCTTGCTCTGCTCTCAACAATTGGGGAACACTTATTTTCATGTTTTGTGAATTCTCCTGTCTTGCTGTAAGCTAATTTCATGGCTGGGGGAAGCTTGAGAAAGATGTATGACTTTGAAGACCCGAGGACCCTGACTTTAAAAGGGCTTGAATTGGAATTTGGGGATTACAATAAGGAAACCTTCGGGTACTGGTACTTGCTAAAGCACTTTGTTGGACAACAGGACAAGATTCTAAAGCTCCTTCAGGAAGTTCCTGGGTCTGGAACATTTCATGCGATAACCCCATTGTATGGAGATTGGGTCAGCCAAGTTATGTTTTTTTTGAGACAGAGTCTTGCTCTGTCGCCCAGGGTGGAATGCAGTGGCGTGGTCTCGGCTCACTGTAACCTCAGCCTCCCAGGTTCAAGTGATTCTCCTGCCTTACCCTCCTAAGTAGCGTAGCTGGGACTACAGGCGCGTGCCACCTTGCCCGGCTAATTTTTTTTGTATTTTTAGAGACAGGGTTCACCATGTTGGCCAGGCTGGTCTCGAACTCCTGACCTCAGATGATCCACCTGCCTTGGCCTCTCAAAGTGCTGGAATTACAGGCATGAGCCACCGTGCCTGGCCTATTTTAACCTTGAAAGTAAAATGTGTATTTTTCACTACAGGTACACTGAACCGTAAAATGAATAACACCAAACTGTATATTGGATGCCTTCTGTCTTTTCATGATCATGTGCTAACCAGGTGTTCATATTTTATTCAGCCAGAGTCTCATTCATCTGGTTAGCATTGGGCACCTTATGTATATTGATCCTAAACATAAATAAATCTTTGAGGATATCCTATTTTGGATTGTGACTTGTAGACTCAGGCCAACCTTGCTGCCTCTTTTTCACACTTGTTGAAAAGTCTGTGGAGAGCATAGTAGGTTAACAATCTCCAACTTTGGAAAATGTACATGTTGTGAAATTGGGGTGCTATGCTAAAAATCAGTGTGTGGTAACTGAAAAAAAGGGAAGAGGCAGTGAGTAAAAAAAAAAAAAAAAAAAAAGAAAAAATCTTAGAAGTTATATTGTAATGTAAGGAGAAAGGTGGCCAGCTGAGAGTTAAGCCATAGGCAGCTTCCTGTTGCCCCAGTCAGGGCTTGGGAGATGCTAGCAGGTTTTTAAATTCTCCAGCTTTCATTTTTCAGTTTGTCTTCTCACCAACTGAAATCTCTCAGTACATTACTTTAGTTTAACTTGCTAGTATTTCTTAAAATATAATTTATCTTGTTATATTTATACTAATGTTGATTGATTCCCACTCTCCTAATTTTCTTTTATTTTTTACTTTTTTGGAAATTTGTAAATTATAAAGTAGTATATACCTGTTGTAACAAGACGAATAGTCCAGAAGTGTATTAAAAAAGTTAAGTTCCCCTGCCCATGCCCTGAGGTAACCACAGTTAAGAGCTTGGTGTATGTGTGTGAATGTTCTTCCTCATATTTTTTTTCATGCTCAGACCAATAAATATTATATGGGGTTGCTTTCTCCTCCTTTCCGCTCTTCCTTCCTTCTTACCTTCCTTCTTTCCTTCCTTTGAAACAGAAATGAAATAATTCCTCTGGAAGGATACCCAAAAAACTGATAATCAGGTTATCTTTGGGGAAGGAAACTGGGAGACTTGGGAACAGAGGTGGAAGGGAGATTGAGTTTTGACTGTGTGCCTTTTTATTTTCTTTTATTGTTTATTTATTTAGTTAGTTAGTTTTGAGACAGAGTCTCGCTCTGTCACCCAGGCTGGAGTACAGTGGCACTATCTCAGCTCACTGCAACCTCTGTCTCCCAGGTTCAAGCGATTCTCGTGCCTCCCCAGTAGCTGGGACTACAGGTACCCACCACCTCACCCATCTAATTTTTGTATTTTTAGTAGAGACAGAATTTCACCATGTTGGCCAGGCTGGTCTCAAACTCCTGACCTCAAGTGATCTGCTCCCTTTAGCCTCCCAAGGTACCGGGATTACAGGCGCGAGCCACTGCACCCAAGCCTGTGTGCCTTTTTATACTGTTTGCCTTTTTCTCCTGTTTTTTTTTTTTTTTTTCCATGGCCACGTATCATTAATTTAAAAAATTCTCTTCTCTATCAATTTTCTCTGAAGGTGCAGTGTTTTCTGTGACATTGCCTTGCCATTGGTGAGTTGTTTTTTTTTTTCCTTTTAATGACACATCTTTATTTCCTTGGCAATTTTTTTTTTTTTTTTGAGATGGAGTCTCACTCTGTTGTGTGGGCTGGAGTGCAGTGGCACGACCTTGGTTTACTGCAACCTCCGCCTCTTGGGTTCCAGTGATTCTCCTACCTCAGCCTCCTGAGTAGCTGGGGTTACAGGCACCTGCCACCACACCCGGCAAATGGCTAATTTTTGTATTTTTAGTAGAGATGGGTTTTCATCATGTAGGACAGGCTGATCTTGAACTCCTGATTTCAGGTGATCCGCCTGCCTCGGCCTTCCAAAGTGCTGGGATTACAGGCGTGAGCCGGTAACTTTTTTTTTTTTTTTAAATGTTAAAAAACTTGATGAAGTTCCGAAAGAAACAAACAAGATACAACCTTCCTTCTATTTACATGGTACTTGCGATCCTGGAAAATGCCATGTACAAAAATACTGTGCAAAAAATGTTTTATCTTTAGGAGTAAAGTAAAGTTCTCGACACAGATAATTGTAAACGGGTTTTCCACCTGCATGAATGTCTGATGGGATCTTTGAGAGCCATGAAGGATGCAGGACTGTCTTGTGCCTTGCAGATGTGCAGCTTCCCTGGCCTTTCTCCAGTAAATGCCAGCAGAATACCCCAATCACTGTGGTACTCTTCCCTGCAAATTTCCAAAATGCTTCCTAGGAGGTGGTGCTATTCTTGCTGAGAACCACTGCTCTAGCTGCTTCCTCTGATTAGAATGTTCTTTTCCCAGTTTGCAGAGTTGATTCCTTTTTGTCATTCAGAGCTCAACTTAAATGTTACCTCCTCTCAGAGGGCTTTGCCTGACTGCCCAATCTATAGGGCCCTCATTCAGTCTACCACATTGTCCCATTTCAATTCTCTGTATAGCATTTATCCCTGTCTGCTGTTTTCCTTTCCTGTCATTTTATTGTCTGTTTCCACCTACCAGAATGTAAGATCCATTAGGGAAGGGATCTTGTCTCTTGTTCACAGCAATGTCCTTGTTACCTGGAATGGTGGCTGGCACATTAGTGCCCAGCAATCATTAGTTAGATGAAAGGAAGGAAGGAAGGAAGGAAGGGAGGGAGGGAGGAAGGGAGGGAGGGAGGGAAGGAGGGAGGGAGGGAGGGAAGGAAATCTCTTCTTCAGTTGTACAGGTTGCAGAAGATTGGCAGAACATGATGTCTTCATGAAATGGTTTAAGTTAAATATGATAAATACCAAAATATTAGCTTAATTCACAAGATCAGTAGACTCATCAATTTGCAGCAAATAATATCAACCTCCTCAGAAGTTGGATATTTGCTATTCTAAGTTCCCAGCCACATCTGTAATTTTAAAAAGAACTGTGATATTTGACAAAGACACTTGCTTTGTTCCCAGTCATCATTTTCACTCTGTCTTTGGCAGCAGTTTTGGTAAGTGTGTGAACAATGAATTCAGCAGATCTAACCTTTGCAATTCAGTACAACCTTATAAAATGTGGTTTCCACAGCTTTTGTCTTTGGCCTGTTGTGTTTAGCTTTAGGTGATGATGAAATGTCCTTCTATTCTGCTTCAAAATTTTTGATGATATTTGAAGCAGGAAGATTTTGTATCAAAATATATGAGCCTTTTCATTTATTCACTCACTCATTCACTCATTTATTCATTTACTCATTCTGCAAATGTTTATTGAATACTTACTCTGTATCAGGAACTGTGCAAGTGATACATATGTCACATAATGGAGTTTAATTTTCTCTCATTACCAGGTGATATGGTTTGGCTGTGTTCCCACCCAAATCTCATCTTGAATTGTAACTCCAACAATTCCCTCATGTTGTGGGAGGAACCCACTAGAAGGTAATTGAATCATGGGAGTGGCTCTTTCCTGTGCTGTTCTCATGATAGTGGATAAGTCTCACAAGTTCTGATGGTTTTAAAAATGGGAGTTTCCCTGCACAAGCTCTCTCTTTGCCTGCTGCCATCCATGTAAGATGTGACTTGCTCCTCCTTGCCTTCCAACACGATCGTGAGGCCTCCCCAGCCATGTGGAATTGTAAGTCCATTAAACCTCTTTCTTTTGTAAGTTGCACAGTCTCAGGTATGTCTTTATCAGCAGTGTGAAAATGAACTAATACACCAGGCCACGGTTATTTTTCATGGGAGTTGCATGATACTTTTGGTTTCTTTGCTGCTGTTTTGTTTGTTTGTTTTTGTTTTCAGAGACAGGGTCTCGCTCTGTCACCCAGGCGGGACTGCAGTGGCATGATCATAACTCACTGCAGCCTCCAACTCCTGGGTTTAAGTGATACTCCCACCTCAGCTTCTGCAGTAGTTAGGACTACAGGCATATGCCACCACGCCCAGCTAATTTTCAAAATTTTTTTGTAGAGATGAGGTCTCACTGTGTTGCCCAGGCTGGTCTTGAACTCTTGGGCTCAAGCAATCCTCCTCCTGCCTTAGCTTCCCAAAATGTTGGGATTGCAGGCATGAGCCACTGTGCCTGGCACTGCTGGTTTTTTTTTTTTTTTTTTTTTTTTTTTTTTTTTTTTTTTTGTGGAATCTAAGCCCTCGCTCTCTCCCCCTACCCTACTAATTTTTTTTTTTTTTTTAGACAATTTTTTTTTTTTTTTTTTTTTTTTTTTTTTTTTTTGAGACAGAGTATCGCTCTTGTTGCCCAGGCTGGAGTGCAGTGGTGGGATCTTGACTCACTGCAACCTCTGCCTCCCGGGTTCAAGTGATTCCCCTGCCTTAGCCTCCTGAGTAGCTGGGATTACAGGCATGCACCACCACACCTGGATAATTTTTTTTTTTTTTTAGTAGAGATGGGATTTCTCCATGTTGGTCAGGCTAGTCTCGAACTCCTGACCTCAGATGATCTGCCCACCTCAGCCTCCCAAAGTGCTGGGATTATAGGCATGAGCCACCATGCCTGGCCAGTATTTTTTTTTTTTACACCAGTAGATGGTCCAAGTGTTGGAGTCATCTCTAATAACTATCTGAAGACCTACAATTAAAGTCATAACATTTTTACCACACAGATTCCACCATTATACTTTGTGTAATTGATATACAGCATAATCACCATGTTTTGTTGTAGAGTCCTAGGAATTTGGGCACATGTATAGACTGGTGTGACCACTACCACAATAAGGATCCAGAATTGTTCCCAACTTCTCATGTGCTGTCCTTTTGTAGTCAAGCCCTCCCCAACCCCCACCTGGGCAACCACAGATTTGTTCTCTATCCCTATCGTGTTGCCTTCTGAGAATGTCATATAAATGGAAGCATATAGCATGTAACCTTTTGAGACTGGCTTTTTCTACTCAGCACAATACCTTTAAGATTTATCCATGTTGTGTTCATCAATAGTTTCTTCCTTTTGATTGCTGGATAGTATTCCATAGTATGGATGTACCACAATTTGTTTATCCATTGTTTTAGTTTGTGCTGCTACAACAAAATACCTGCGACTCGGTAACTTACAAAGAACAAAAATTTATTGCTTACAAATCTGGAAGCTGGAAAGTCCATAACCAAGGTGCTGGCATCTGGTATGGTGAGTCCTTCTTGCTGCACCACCTCATGGCAAAAGGTGGAATAGCAAACTAACCAAATGCAACTTGAAGCCTCTTTTATAAGGGCCTTAGTCCCTTCAATGAAGGAGAAGCCGTAATGGCTTAATCACCTGTTAAAGGCACCATCTCTTGATGCCATCACATTGGCAACACCTTTATTTTGGAGGGGACGCGTTCAAATGATAGCATCCCTTCATCTGTTGATGGACATTTGGTCTGATTCTGGTTTTTGGCTATTATGAATAATGCTGCTGTGAACATTCATGTACAGGTGTTTGTATGAAAATGCTTCCTTTTATTTACTACCTAAAAGGTAGCATTCTATAGACATATCTTTGGCACTTTGCTTTTTCACTGTAACTTTATTTTAGAAGTCACTCCACTTCAGTTTGTAGAGACTTTTCTCACTTTTTTTTTTTTTTTTACAGCCACATAGTATTCTATTGTATGGAGGTACCATAGCTTATTCAACTATAAACCTATGTATGGACATTTATATTATTTCCAATATTTTGCAATTATAAGCAATGTTGTGATGAATGACCTTGTGCATATGTATCTTTGGATTGTTAGGGGTTTATCTTCATCTACTGTGACACTTAAAAATCCTATTTATTGGCTGGGCATGGCGACTCAGCCTATGATCCCAGCACTTTGGGAGGCCAAGGCAGGAGGATCACTTGAGGCCAGGCGTTTGAGACCAGCCTGGGCAACATAGTGAGATGTCTTCTTTACAAAAAATTTTAAAAATTAGCTGAGTGTGGTGGTGTGCACCTGTAGCCCTAGCTATTGTGCAGGCTGAGGTGGGAGACTCCCTTGATCCCAGGAGTTTGAGGCCCTAGTGAGCTGTGCTCTCCAGCCTGAGTGACAGAGCAAGACTTCATCTCTAAAAAATAAAAATAAATTAAAATCCCATTTGTAATCACTGACCCACGGTGAGTTTAACAGAAAACAAAACAGAAAGAATGAAGCACAGGCCCAACTTCTAGTAAAAACAATACACACTTTTACCTATTTCCTGTACTAAGGAGTTGTCAACTTTTATAAACCATGGCTGGTGTACCAATGAAAAAAATGCATTGAAGTATATGAACCTTCAAGATACAAGGCTCCATCTTGCTGCTCTGGGTTGTGAAGTATGTCCCAAAATGGCAGTGGTCATTTGCAATGGGCAGATCAAGGAAACATGAGGTGTGCTTGCTGGGTTATTGGCCACATGAATGTTGAAATCACTGAGAATGGCAGGGGAAGTTGGAACAAAGAGGACAGAGAGACTGTGAGTGCAGAACTAAATTCTTCACAAATGAGGGTAGTGACTGGGAAGGTGATAGAAGACTGCCACCAGGAATGGGAGAGGATGATACAAGTGGATAGCATGAGCCAAGGAAGAGCTAGAGATTTCTCAGGAGGGAGGAGGAATGAGGATCAGAAAGTGGTCTTGGGGAGCAAGGAGAGCTGGAGCTCCACCTCCTGGCACTCCCTGAGGCATTTAGCTGTTGGGGGGGATGAGAAAATAAACAACTTGTGCTTGAAAGGGGTCAGCAGACAGCCAAGGTTTCAATTACAGCAGGGGTCGGGGAAGAATATCTTGAGAGATTTGAGGCTTTGGGATTTAACCCATTATAGACTTGGAGTGCTAACCTTAACTAAAATCTCTCTCAACCTAACCTGCTGATAAGGTCCAGCTGTTGGAGTGTGAAGTGTTCTTTTACTTCTAGGTCAGTTGGTATTTGTGGCAGCAATGAAAGGGGGTGCAGTGAGTCAGTAGCCTTTTGCTACTGAGGCACTGGTGTTATCGGTAGAGGTCTTGACTGCAAGCTGTCCAGATTCTTGAAGTTTTGAACAAGTAATTGGACAAAATGCACAGCAAAGCAAGGAAAGAATGAAGCAACGAAAGAATGAAAGCAGGGATTTATTTAAAATGAAAGTGTACTCCACTCTGTGGGAGCGGCAGAGCAGTGGCTCAAGACCCCCGATACAGAAACTTCCTGGGTCCAAATAACCCCTAGAGAGTTCCCATTGGCCACTTGGTGTTCACCCCATGTAAATGAAGTGGTGGCCCACAATCAGAGGCTGAAGTGAAGTTACAAAGGTCATACTCCTATGCAAACATCTGATTGGTGCAACCAATCAGAGGCTAAAGTGAAGTTACAAGGTTACACTCCTTTGCCTTTTGCAACCAGTGAGAGGTACTTTCAATTTCCCATCTGCCATCCAGAAAAGGTGGGGATTTGGAAAGGGAGTAGCCTCTGGTCCTTTTGTTACTTAGGCATGGAAAGTTAGGGTTTTCCTTTCAGTTTAGTTCTAGGAAGTCAGCGTGAAATGGTCTTAGGGTCCATAACTCCAGTCCCTATTCTCCTGCCTCACTGGGAGTGGTTTTCAGTGTCTCTGCTGGGTGTTCTCCAAGGTTGACCTGAGGGCCTGGTTGGAGGGTCACAGGGTGGAGCTCCTCCTACCAGTATGGCATGTGTGGTTCTGGGGTTTAATGTCTGTCCCTAAACCACAGACTAGCCATATCTACCACAATATTGCCATCCTGTTGTTTTTGCATATAATTTGCATGAGATTGTGTTGCATTTAAAAGATATCAAAGGAAAACGCTGAGTGACTACTTAGCTAGACTTCACCAGACAGCAGTCCCTGCTGTTGACTTCTTAGCTCTGCAGATCCAGAAATTCAGCTTTATCAGGGTACCCTGTAGCAAGCAGGCTCAGAAGGCTGACTCTTAATAACTACCAGTCACTCCTTGTTCTCCTTTGTTGGTTTTTCCACATCTCCATGACCTCTAAAATATTCAAGTGCTCCAGGCTCACTCCTTGAGCTTTTTCTCTATTTAAACCGATTTCCATGCTGATCTCATCTAGTCTCATGGGTTTAAATGTCATCTATGTCCTGATGACTCCCAAATATATACTGTAGTGTTCCCTCATCTGAAGTTTCATGTTCCTCAGTTTCAGTTACCTGTGGTGAACTACAGTTTGCAAATATTAAATGGAAAATTCCAGAAATAAACAATTCGTAAGTTTTAAATTATGCACCATTCTGAGTAGTGTGATGAAATCTTGCTTTGTCCCACCTGGGATGTGAATCATCCCTCTGTCCAGTGTACCCAAGTTGTCCATGATACCTGCCTGTTGGTCTCTTAGTAGCTCTCTCAGTTATCAGGTGGAAAAAACAGTATATATGTTGGGTTCAATACTATCCATGTTTTCAGGCGTCCACTGGGGATCTTGGAACAGTTCTGCAGATAAGAGAGGACTACTGTATCTCCAGTTTGGACTTCTCCCGGAACTCTGGATTCCCATGTCCAGATACCCCCTTAATAGCTCCACTTTTATATTTCATACACATCTCAATCATAAAGTGTCTCAAATGAGACCCCTGATCTACCCCATCAAATCTGTCCCTCCCTAACCTTCCCCATCTTGGCAAATGGAAACCTCATTTTTTTTTTTTTTGAGACACAGTCTTACTCTGTCACCCAGGTGGGAGTGCAGTTGTGCGATCTTGGCTCACTACACACTCTGCCTCCTGGGCACAAGCAATTCTTGTGCCTCAGCCTCCTGAGTAGCTAGGACTACACGTGCGCACCACCATGCCTGACAAATTTTTGTATTATTAGTAGAGACAAGGTTTCACCATGTTGACCAGGCTGGTCTCGAACTCCTGACCTCAGGTGATCCACCCACCTCGGCCTCCCAAATTGCTGGGATTACAGGCATGAGCCACCGCACCTGGCGGAAACTTCATTCTTTTGGTAACTCAGGCCAAAAATCTTGTAGTCATGCTTGACACCCCTTTTTCTCTTTAAAAACTATCATCCATCACCTGCACTTTTGGGATTATCTCTTAATGGGTCTTTCTGCTTCACCATTGCCCTCTTACACTGTATTCTCAAATCTGCAATTAGAATGATTGATCCTTTTAATTTTTTTTTTTTTAAATCAAGACGGAGTCTTACTCTGTGGCCCAGGCTGGAGTGCAGTGGCATGATCTTGGCTCACTGCCACCTCCACCTCCTGAAAGCAATTCTCCTGCCTCAGCCTCCCGAGTATCTGGATTATAGGCACCTACCACCACGCCCAGCTAATTTTTGTATTTTTAGTAGAAACAGGGTTACACCATGTTGGCCAGGCTGGTCTCGCACTCCTGACCTCGTGATCCTCCCACTTCAGCCCAAAGTGCTGGGATTACAGGCGTGAGCCACCGCATACGGCCAACTGATCCTTTTAGCATGAAAGTCAGATGGTGTCACTTCACTGTTCGGAACCCTCTGATGACTCTACATCTCAAAGTAAAATCCAAAATCCTAACATTGCTCTGCAAGGCCCTACACAATCTTTCCCTCATCCCCCTACTATCCCCACGTTATCTCTCTGACTCCTCACCACTACTCTCCCCTGCGTTCACTCCACTTCGGTCACACTGGCCTTTCTGCTGATCCGTAAACAAACCAGGCACTCCCTACCTCAGGCCTCTGCACTTGGTGTCTCTCCTACCTGGAATGTTTTTCCATAGCCATCTGAATGGCTACTTTCTTCACCTCCTTCAGAGATTTTCTCAAATGTCTTCTTCTCAGTGAGGCCTGAATACTCTGTTTAAAATTGTAACCCCCACCTTGGTACATCCTGTCCCCCTTCCCTGCTTTCTTGTTCTCTATAGAATTTACCACTCTCCATCTGACACACTGTATGTTTTTCTTCAAAAACCTCTCTCTCTCTTTTTTTTTTTTTTGAGATAGAGTCTTGCTCTGTTGCCCAGGCTGGAGTGCAGTGGCACGATCTTGGCTCACTGCAACCTCTGCCTCCCGGGGTCAAACGATTCTTTTGCCTCAGCCTCCTGAGTAGTTGGGATTACAGGCATGCGCCACCACATCTGGCTAATTTTTTGTATTTTTAGTAGAAATGGGGTTTCACCATGTTGCCCAGGCTGGTCTCAAACACCTGACCTCAAGTCATCCGCCCACCTCACCCTCCCAAAGTTCTGGGATTACAGGCGTGATCCACCACTCTGGGCCAAAATCTGTCTCTCTTTAGCCTACTAAGATGTAAGCTCCATGAGGGCAGAGGTTTTATCTGGTATACTTCCATATTTTTGGCATTTAAAACTGTAGCCTACTAGGCACTCAATAAATATTTATTAAATATATGAATGAATGAATGAATGAATGATTCTACTCATAAGATACAGATATATGAACCAAAATGTCTGTTTATTAATTGACAGTGAAAACTATAACTGTTAAGCAGACCTGAATACTCACATAGGATATTCAGGGAACCCTCTTCGCTTTAGGGAAGTCTTAAGGGGCTATCACACTGCAATAAGAAGTTAGTATAAAACACAGCCTTAGAGCAAAGGGAAATATTAAAATACTCTTCATAGGTCGTTCTATTTTATTTTCTTTTTTTAAATGGACCTGACATTGTGAGCATATCTTCACAGGTAATTCTACCAATCCATCTTCACTTTAGGAATATTCCTTCCAATTAGAATTGTAATATTCATAGAAGCTGCTCTGGGATCACTCCTGCACAGGGCTCTTTGGCTTTCTTTTATCCAGTTTCTTTTTTTTTTTTTGAGATGGAGTTTTGCTCTTGTTGCCCAGGCTGGAGTGCACTGGTGGGATCTTGGCTCACTGCAACCTCTGCCTCCTGGGTTCAAGTGATTCTCCTCTCTCAGTCTCCCGAGTAGCTGGGATTACAGGCGCCTACCACCATGCCCAGCTAATTTTTGTATTTTTCATAGAGACAAGGTTTTAACATGTTGGTCAGACTAGTTTTGAACTCCTGACCTCAGATGATCTGCCCGCCTCGGCCTCCCAAAGTAATGGGATTACAGGCGTGAGCCACCGCGCCCGGCTCTTTTATCCAGTTTCTATGTAGCAGAAACATGGATAACTTTTAAGTTTTGCACTTGAGCAAATGGGTGGATGGTGATGTAATTAATTGAGATAGAGAAGGAATTTAAGCTTATTGATGACTTTATGTGAATAACTTAGACTGAAGGTGATGTGTCAGGATAAACTATAAAGAGTAAAAGCTTAGATAAATCCAACTTTAGAGCTTGTTTCATGTTTTCAAACTGTTATATCAAAAGAAAAGTCTATTATGCCAGAGACTATCCACCAGTATCCACATGCTCCCTTACATTTCCAGGCTTTCTTTTTGCCTAAGTGGAACCATGTGGTTTTGTTTTGGTGAGGGAACGTGTAGGATTGATAACTGCCACTTCTAGGCCTGACCCATGTAATACCCTTCATGATTTTTCATGCTGTTAATAAATCTCTTTGCTGTTGTACAGCAGGAAGCAAAGGACTCTGAAATGGTGGAACACGATGCAAGGAACCTGTATCCTTGGGTTTCCCCTCAGAGGAAAACCACCCTGGACAGTTGCTCATACAGGAACCATCTCATGGGACTTTGTGTGAGTGAAAAGTCAACCTTTGGGTAAGCCAATGAAATTTCAGCGTTTCTTTGTTACCACAGCAGATTCTAGTCTACCTGACTGTCTCTGTTTGTGTTGGTATACAGAAATATCTGGCTGGGCGCAGTGGCTCATGCCTGTAATCCCAGAACTTTGGGAGGCCAAGGCAGGCAGATCACTTGAGGCCAGGAGTTGGAGACCAGCCTGGCCAACATAGTAAAACCCTGTCTCTACTAAAAATACAAAAAATTAGCCAGGTATGGTGGTGTGTGCCTGTAGTCCCAGCTACTTGGGAGTCTGAGGCACAAGAATCACCTGAGCCCAGGAGGCAGAGGTTGCAGTGAGCCAAGATCATGCCACTGCACTCCAGCCTGGGTGACAGAGTCAGACTCTGTCTCAAAAACAAAAACAAAAACAAAAAGACCAGCCTGGCCAACGTGGTGAAACCCCGTCTCTACTAAAAACACAAAAAATTGGCTGGATGTGGTAGTGCACACCTGTAGTCTCAGCTACTCGGGAGACTGAGGCACAAGAATCGCTTGAGTCTGGGAGGCAGTGGTTCATTGCAGTGAGTTGAGATTGTGCCACTGCACTTCAGCCTGGGTGACAGAGTGAGACTCTGTCAACCAAACAAACAAACAAACAAAAAAAAAAAAGAAAGAAAGAAAAAGAAATATCTGAGCTAATAAAGAAAAGAGGTTTGTTTGGCTCATGGTTCCACCGGCTGGAATGTTGGGCCTCTTGGTGAAAGCCTCAGGCTGCTTCCACTCATGGCAGAAGGCAAAGGGGAGCCAGTGTGTGCAGAGATCGCATGGAGAGAGTGGAAGCAAGGGAGAGAAGGGGGAGGTATCAGTCTCTTTATAACAACCAGCTCTCATGAGAAGTAATAGAGTGAGAACTCACTCACCACCTCCCTCCCTAGGGCATTAATCTATTCATGAGGGATTTGCCCCATTACCCAAAGATCTCCTAATAGGCCCCATCTCCAACACTGGGGATCAAATTTCCACATGAGTTTTGGGGGAACAAACATCCAAATGGTAGCACTAACTAACACATCTACACACTGTTGACCACAAGAAAGCCCCCTCTCCCTGAGCTACACATGAAGATTATGAGAAGCACTTAATGCTTGACAGTCATGTTAAAGGTTTTTTTTTCCAGCTTTGTTATGAGCTTAGGATAAGGACCATATATAACTACTTTTGCTCAAGGAAGTCACTGACTTCCCTAAGGAAAATTCATCACTCGACTGAGTTTCAAGAAAAATCTTGTGTCTTTCTGGAACAAAAACCCTTAATCTGAATGATCATAAGCATGATTAGGATTAACTTTACGCAGCCCAAATGTATGCTTATATGATAAGCTTCATCAGTGTTCTATCCCACCAGATAAACTGAATGCAATGATTACAAAAACTGTAGCTGCAGCACACACGCCTTTTTTTTTTTTTTTTTTTTTTTTTTTTTTTTTTTTTTTTTTTTTTGAGATGGAGTCTCATGCTCTGTCCCCCAGGCTGGAGTGCAGTGGCACGATCTCTGCTCACTGCAACCTCCGCCTCCCGGATTCATGTCATTCTCCTGCCTCAGCTTCCGGAGTAGCTGGGACTACAGGCACGTGCCACCACGCCTGGCTAATTTTTTGTATTTTTAGTAGAGATGGGGTTTCACCATGTTAGCCAGGATGATCTCGATCTCCTGACCTTGTGATCCGCCCGCCTCGTCCTCCCAAAGTGCTGGGATTACAGGCGTGAGCCACTGCGCCCAGCAGCACACATGCCTTGATGAAGATTGTGAGGCTGTGGTATTAAATGGTTTTCATTATCTGATTTTCCTAGTTGTGAATTAAACTGAAGAACTTGCTGAAAACATTTTGATCATAATGAAGAGACTCTTGAAATGCTTGATTAAGTGCATTCTAAAGAATTTCCCCAACGTGGATGGCAGTGGTGAGTGACTAATTGTGTCTATTTGGGTCTTCTAGGAAGCAGATGCTAATAAGGAGTTAGGAATGCAGGATGTTGATTGTGGCTAATACCGGTGAAAGATAAAAGGGCAGAGAGCAAGACTGGGTAGGAAAGGCATTCAAACTACGATGCATTATCTGACACATGTGAAAGGATAAGGGGTGGAAACAGAATTGGGCAGAGTTGCCTTAGATTTTAAGGCTAATATGAGAAAGTCTTGGTCTCAACCCAGTGGGGAGTTCTGGAGGAAAGACTGCCTCTTTAAAGAGTCTCACATTGGGCAGAAGTGGCTAGGCCCTAGAAGTGCCACCTTTCTTAGTTATTGACTGGAGGCTGCCCAGGGAAAGCATGGTTTTGTCAAGAATACTGCAGCCAGTCTTGGAAGGTCCTGCAACCTGAGGCTGTAAGCTAACTTCACTGCTCATAGTTCCATGGCGAAGTCTTTCTTGATAGGAACTCTGAGCTATGCAGCTCCATGCTTGCCACAGTCCATCCTTGGTGTTGCCTGGATTAACTTCAGAGTTCCTGTTCAGAATTCCTGTGAACCTCAGAAGGTCTTCCTGAGGGAAGACTTAGAAGAGGAGGTTAGTGAGAAGAACTACAGCTCATCTTGCTGCAGTTGGTCTCAGGGCTGCTACTAGGTTTCATTTTCTTCCTTCTCTATAACCCATTCTATATTTGTACTGATTTTCTGCCTGCTTAATCTATCCATTGTTGACAGAGGGGTGTTGAAATCTCCAATGATAATAGTAGATGTATCTAGTTCTTCTTGCAGTTCTATAAGTTTTTGTCTCATTTATTTTGATGCTTTGTTGTTAGGTGCATACACGTTTTAAGATTGTAGTTTTCTTGAGACTTGACCCCCATAATGCCCCATTTTATTTTATTTTTTTTTCAGAATTGTAAAATTTTATTTTCCACACGTCCACATTCTTATTAATACAGCTTGATCGAAAAAAACTCTGACCATAAGCATGTTGATTATTTCCCTTTGGAACTGGTGAAGTCAGAAAAATAAAATATTTATTTTGAATATATAGCATCCAAAATATTCACTTAATGTGGCCTTATCTGTTTATATTCAAAGGCTTTCTTCCCTCAAAATAAAGGTTCTAAGATAAATTCAAGATTCCTTTGAATGAAGAAAAGAAAACCGGCTGGGCACAGTGGCTGAGGCCTGTAATCCCAGCACTTTGGGAGGCCAGTGTGAGTGTTTCACTCCCAGGAGTTCAAGACCAGCCTGGGCAACATAGGGAGACCCTGTCTCCACAAAATTGACAAAAAATTAGCCAGGTATAGTGGCACGCTCCTGTGCTCCCAGCTACTCAGAAGGCTGGGGTGGAAAGATTGCTGGAGCCATGGAGGTTGAGGCTGCAGTAAGCCAAGATTGCAACCACTGCACTCCAGCCTGGGTGACAAAGTGAGACCCTGTCTCGAAAAACAAAAATAAAACCTTCTAAAACAGTGAGCTTATAAAATACAACAGACTGCTAGACACACTTAGTGGTAACATGAAAGTATGTTCACTGAAAAGAAAATTTGAAGCATGACCATAAACCTTTGTGAAAAACCATAATATGCTCTTTACTTCATTTGTTTTTAGCTATTTTATAAATACCAAGAGAAATTGGACACAGTTTGTGATGAAACTTAGAAAAATTTCTTTTTCCATAAAATAAACATGTAAGTCTTTCCCTTTGGCTTCTTCTTCCATTCCTCCTTCCCTGTGCTGAAGAGATATTGAGTTCTTCCAGATTTTTGCTTAGCTGAGTGGTTTCCGAACTCAATGGACTCTCCAGGTAGGTAGTTCCTGCACAGGGTTTTCCTGTCACTGGATCTATGACTTTTCCAACGTTGAAAATGATCTCAGCCTGTTCATGTTTCACATGCTTTGTTCGTGGAACAGGTAAAGCTTTGAGAAGCACAATATCCCCAATTGTGCACTGCTGAAGGGCATTGTGAGCAAAGTAGGTTTTTCTCTTATTATAATGCTTTAATAAATAGGGATCCAGAACAAGCCTGGTCACTCTCACTTTAGCAGTCGTTTGCATTTTTGTCCAAGTCACCTTCCCCACAATCCATTTGGTACGGATGGATGAACGAACCATGGACATTATGTGGCTATAGTCACCTCCGCCACTACTGTGCAGCCACATGACCTGTGGAGTGTCAGTCGCAGCATGATCCCCATTTTATTCTTGATGACATTCCTTGTTCTGAAACCTGCTTTATCTGATAGAAATATAACTACTCCAACTTTCTTTTGGTTAGTGTTTTTTTTTTCTTTTTGTATATCTGTGGCTATCTTTTTACTTTATTTTTAATTTTTTTGTAGAGATGGAGTATCACTGTGTTGCCCAGGCTGGTCTCAAACTCCTGGGCTCAAGCAATCCTCCTGCCTCAGGCTCTCAAAGAGCTGGGATTACAGGTGTGAGCCACCATACCTTTGACTTTTAATATGTCTCTGTCTTTATATTAAATGTGGGTTTCTTATAAACAGTATGTAATTGGGTCTTATTTTCTTATCCACTGTGACAATCTCTGTCTTTTAATTGGTGCATTTAAACCATTCACATTTAAGGTGACTTTGATATAGTCAGACTAATACCTACCATTTTTATAACTATTTTCTTTCGTATATTTATTTAAATTGATACATATTAGATGTACATATTTGGGATACATGTGATAATTTGATGCATTTACATAATCGGATCAGGGTACTTGGAATATCCATCACCTTAAACATAAATCTTTTTGTTGAATTATTCTCCTCTAGCTATTTTCTTTTTTTATTATTATTATTTTTTATTATACTTTAAGTTCTAGGGTACATGTGCACAATGTGCAGGTTTGTTACATATGTATACATGGGCCATTTTGGTGTGCTGCACCCATTAACTCGTCATTTACGTTAGGTATATCTCCTAATTCTATCCCTCCCCCCTCCCCCCACCCCACGACTGGCCCCAGTGTGTGATGTTCCCCTTCCTGTGAGCAAGTGTTCTCATTGTTCAGTTCCCACCTATGAGTGAGAACATGCGGTGTTTGGTTTTCTGTTCTTGCGATAGTTTGCTGAGAATGATGGTTTCCAGCTGCATCCATGTCCCTACAAAGGACATGAACTCATCCTTTTTTATGGCTGCATAGTATTCCATGGTGTATATGTGCCACATTTTCTTAATCCAGTCTGTCATTGATGGACATTTGGGTTGTTTCCAAGTCTTTGCTATTGTGAATAGTGCCACAATAAACATACATGTGCATGTGTCTTTATAGCAGCATGATTTATAATCCTTTGGGTATATCCCCAGTAATGGGATGGCTGGGTCAAATGGCATTTCTAGTTCCAGATCCTTTTTTTTTTTTTTAATACTTTAATTTCTAGGGTACATGTGCACAACGTGCAGGTTTGTTACGTATATTTACATGTGCCATGTTGGTGTGCTGCACTCCTTAACTCATCATTTACATTAGGTATATCTCCTAATGCTATCCTTACCTCCTCCCCCCTCCCCCCAATAGGACCCGGTGTGTGATGCTCCCCTTCCTGTGTCCAAGTGATCTCATTATTCAGTTCCCACCTATGAATGAGAACATGCGGTATTTGGTTTTCTGTTCTTGCGATAGTTTGCTGAGAATGATGGTTTCCAGCTGCATCCATGTCCCTACAAAGGACACGAACTCATCCTTTTTTATGGCTGCATAGTATTCCATGGTATATATGTGCCACATTTTCTTAATCCAGTCTGTCATTGATGGACATTTGGGTTGGTTCCAAGTCTTTGCTATTGTGAATAGTGCCGCAATAAACATACGTGTGCATGTGTCTTTATAGCAGCATAATCCTTTGGGTATATAACCAGTAAGGGGATGGCTGGGTCAAATGGCATTTCTAGTTCTAGATCCTTGAGGAATCGCCACACTGTCTTCCACAATGGTTGAACTAGTTTACAGTCCCGCCAACAGTATAAAAATGTTCCTATTTCTCCACATCCTCTCCAGCACCTGTTGTATCCTGACTTTTTAATGACTGCCATTCTAACTGGTGTGAGATGGTATCTCATTGTGTTTTTGATTTGCATTTCTCTGATGGCGAGTGATGATGAGCATTTTTTCGTGTGTCTGTTGGCTGCATAAATGTCTTCTTTTGAGAAGTGTCTGTTCATATCCTTTGCCCACTTTTTAATGGGGTGGTTTGCTTTTTCTTGTAAATTTGTTTGAGTTCTTTGTAGGTTCTGGATATTAGCCCTTTGTCAGATGAGTAGATTGCAAAAATTTTCTCCCATTCTCTAGGTTGCCTGTTCACTCTGATGGTAGTTTCTTTTGCTGTGCAGAAGCTCTTTGGTTTAATTAGATCCCATTTGTCAATTTTGGCTTTTGTTGCCATTGCTTTTGGTATTTTAGACATGAAGTCCTTGCCCATGCCTATGTCCTGAATGGCATTGTCTAGGTTTTCGTCATCTCTTTTTGAGATGGAGTCTTGCTCTGTCATCCAAACTGGAGTGCAGTGGTGCAATCTCAGCTTACTGCAACCTCTGCCTCCCGGGTTCAAGCAATTCTCCTGTCTCAGCCTCCCGAGTAGCTGGGACTACAGGTACATGCTACCACACCTGGCTAATTTTTGTATTTTTAGTAGAGATGGAGTTTCACCACATTGGTTGGGCTGGTCTTGAACTCCTGACCTCAGGTGATCCACCTGCCTCGGCCTCCCAAAGTGCTGGGATTACTGGCGTGAGCCACCGCACCTGGCCTCTTCTAGGTATTTTGGAATGTACAGTTGATTCACATTAACTTTAGTCACTGTACTGATGACTGAAAACCAGGTCATATTTCTTCTAAGTGTGTATTTGTGCCCATTTTTGTAACTGTTTTCTATTTATTGCTCTTGTTCTTTGTTTTTTCCCCATCATCTTTTCTGCCTTTCCTGGTTTAAATTGAGCTTTTTATATGATTCCATTTTATCTCCTCTCCTAATGTATCAGTTGCAATGGTTGCTCTATAGCTTATAATATACATTTTAATTAATTAATTTATTTTTGAGACCGGGTCTCACTTTGCCACCCAGGCTGGAGTGCAGTGGCTCGATCTTGGCTCACTGCAGCCTCGACCTCCTGGACTCAAGTGATCCTCCTACCTCAGCCCCCCAGGTAGCTGGGACTACAGATGCATGACATGGTACCTGGCTAATTTTTGTATTTTTTTGTAGAGACAAGTTTTCACCGTGTTGGCCAGGCTGGTCTCAAACCCCTGAGCTCAAGTGGTCCTCCTGCCTCAGTTTCCCAGTGTCAGGATTACAGACATGAGCTACCATGCCCAGCCTATAACGTACATTTTTAACTAATGTAAGTCAACCTTCAACTAACACTATAAGGCTTCATGAGTAGTTCAGGCACCTTATAACAGAGTATTTCTAATTCTTACTTACCATGTCTCTAACCTCCAAAATGCGCTGGTGGTAGCTGTAGCGTATAGTTCAATGGGACTCCTGCCTAGGCTGAAGTGAAGTGGCACGATTTCAGCTCACTGCAACCTCTGTCCCCCAGGTTCAAGCGATTCTCCTGCCTTAGCCTTGCAGGTAGCTGGGATTCTAGGCGCCCGCCACCACGCCTGGCTAATTTTTGTATTTTTAGTAGAGACGGGGTTTCGCCATGTTGGCAAGGCTGGTCTCGAACTCCTGACCTCAGGTGATCCACCCGCCTAGGCCTCCCAAAGTGTTAGAATTACAAGCGTGAGCCACCGTGCCTGGCCAGGGCAAATATCTTTATGACTGTGTAGTAAGGAAGGCTTTCATAAACAAAATACAGCTAGATAAGCCATAAATAAAGTAAAATCTGGATAAATTATACTACATTAAAAATTTAAAACTTGCGTACAAGAAGACAAGTCATAAACAAAATGAAAAAACAAGATTCAGTCTAGGAAAAGATAATTGCAACGTGCTTGCTTTTATCTCAGACCCTTGGCCATTGATTTTTCTCTGCCTGGAAGAATACTTTTCATTCAAATATACGTCTGGCTCTCTTCTTCAATTAATTAATGTGTCTGTCCAAATGTCACCTCCTCAAAGGGGCCTTCTTTGACCACCATATTGAAAATAAAACCATTGTCACTTCATCTTCTCCGTTTGCTTTATCTTCATAGCACTTATTGCTACCTGATATTCTATATCTATTTGCTCTTTGTTGCCTGTCTCCCCACTAGAATTCAAACTCCTTGAGACCAAGGACTTTGCCTTGCTGACTGCCACATCCTTCTGTCCTCAAATAGTGTGTGGCATATAGTATATACTAAATAAATACTTGTTGAATGAATGAATAAATGAATATAAGTGATAAAGGGTTAGTATTAGAATATGTAGAGACTACAGATTAGTTAAAAACCAACAAATGGCCCAATGGGAAAATTGTCAAGGGCTATGAACAGGCAGGTCACAGAAGAAGAAATCTGAAGATACGGTAAAAATATGGAAAGCTATTTTATATAATTTATAATGAGGAAAATACAAAATTAAACAATAATGAAACCACCACATCATACCCAGAGACTGGCAAAAATTAAAAGTTTGATGATATTAATTATTGGTAAGGGCTTGGGGAAAGGAACAGTTTACTGTTAGTTGGAGTATAAATTGGCACAGACATTTTGGAGAATAATTTTTTTTTTTTTTTTTTTGAGACAGAGTCTCACTCTGTCGCCTAGGCTGGAGTGCAGTGGTGCAATCTCGGCTCACTGCAGCCTCTGCCTCCCGGGTTCAAGCAATTCTCCTGCCTCAGCCTCCTGAGTAGCTGGGACTCGAGGCATGTGCCACACCACGCCCGGCTATTTTTTTTTTGTATTTTTAGTAGAGACAGGGTTTCACCATGTTGGCCAGGGTGGTCTCGATCTCCTGACCTTGTGATCCGCCTGCCTCAGCCTCCCAAAGTACTGGGTTTACAGGCGTGAACAACTGCTCCCGGCCAAGAATTTGATAATATCTAATAAAGATAAACATATGCATACCCTAATTTCCCAGAAATTCTATTCTCAGGTAATATGCTAGAGATACTTTTTTTTTTTTCCTTTCTTTCTTTTTTTTTTTTTCTGAGACGGAGTCTTCGTCTGTCGCCCACACTGGAGTGCAGTGGCACGATCTTGGCTCACTGCAACCTCCACCTCCTGGATTCAAGCGATTCTCCTGCCTCAGCCTCCTGAGTAGCTGGGATTACAGGCATGCACCATCATGCCTGGCTAATTTTTTGTATTTTTAGTAGAGACAGGTTTCACCATCTTGGCCAGGCTGGTCTGGAACTCCTGACCCCAGGTGATCTGCCTGCCTCGGCCTCCCAAAGTGTTGGGATTACAAGCATGAGCTACCGCATCCAGCCAGAGATATTTTTTCATATCTGAGTCAGGAGACTACACAAGAATGTTCATAGCAGCATTGTTTGTAATAGTAAATGACTACATGTAACCCAAATATACACCACCAGTTGAACAGAAAAATAAACCATGGTATACTTATACAATGGGATACTAATGTCAGTAAAAATGAACAAATTTTAGCTCTACACATTGATGGGAATAAATTTCATAAACACACTAAGCAAGAGAAGGAAATTGCAGAATACATGCTATATAGTTTGATTTCTGTAAAGTTCAAAAGATGACAAATTGCAATATGTTTTCTGTGGATAGATGAATAGGTAGAAGGCACAGTGTTTACCTCTGAAGCTGGGGGGAGTGGCATGAGATCAGAGGAGGCTACAGTGTTATGGCTTTTATTACTTTATTTGTTTATTTGAGACAAAGTCTCACTCTGTCACCCAGGCTGGAGTGCAGTGGCGCCATCTCCGCTCACTGCAGCCATGACCTCCTAGGCTTAAGTGATTCCCCCACCTCAGCCTCCTGAGTAGCTGGAATTACAGGCATGCACCACCACACCCAGTTAATTTTTTTGTATTTTTAGTAGAGACAGGATTTCACCATGTTGGCCAGGCTGGTCTCAAACTCCTGGACTCAGGTAATCCACCCACCTTGGCCTCCCAGAGTGCTGGGATTACAGGCATGAGCCACCGAGCCTGGCCAGTTTTTAAAAAGAAGCAAACATGTTAAGATTTGACAAAGATGGGCAGTGATAATATTATGACATGAGTTATCATTTTGTTAGTCCCCTAGTGTGTGCTTGAAAAGACTCATTTGAAAAAGTATCAGCCAGGCGCAGTGGCTCACGCCTGTAATCCGAGCACTTTGGGAGGCTGAGGCAGGTGGGTTGCCTGAGGTCAGGAGTTTGAGACCAGCCTGGCTAACATGGTGAAAACCCGTCTCTATTAAAAATACAAAAATTAGCCGGGTGTGGTGGTGCACGCCTGCAGTCCCAGCTACTCGGGAGGCTGAGGCAGGAGAATCGCTTGAACCCAGTGGGTGGAGGTTGTGGTGAGCTGAGATTGCACCACTGCACTCCAGCCTGGGTTGACAAAGCAAGATTCCATCTCCAAAAAAAAAAAAATTAAAAAAAGAAAAAAGGAAAGAAAGAAAAGAAAAAAGAAAAAAAGCAAAGAAAAAAGAAAAAGTACCATCGGTATTTGTATTTGTGTATATATGTGAGTTGAAAAGCTGAAACAGTTTGGTAATGCTACTATTGTCTCACTCTCATGGCCTCTTCCTTCTGTTTACATTGTCCCAGATTTAGGGTTATTTGCTGGACAGAGATCATGCAGTTTTCAAGTTTGAAACTCAGCTTAATTTGGGACAGGGATCAGCAGACTTTTTCTGTTTGGGCCAATTAGTAAGTAATTTGGGGCCGTATGGTCTCTGGGCCAAATACTAAGCTTTGCTGGCCATGTGGTCTCTGTTGCAACTACTGAAGTTTCCCATCATAGCATGGCAACAGTGTGGTAGGCAGAATTCTAAGATGGCTCCTGAGATTCCTGGCCCCTGACGCATAAAAACTTTATCTCAGTTATTTAATCAAACACTAATCTAGGTGCTGCTGTGAAGGGATTTTGGAGACGTACTTAATGTCCCAAATCAGTTGACCTTAAAATAGGGAGATTATGCATGGTAGGTTTCACCTAATCAGGTGAGCCTTTAAAAGGGATAGGGCTCTTCCTAGTAAGAGAGATTCAAAATGTTAAAGAGGTTTAATGTGAGGGAGACTCTCTATTGCTTACTTTGAAGATGGAGGGGCCATGTGGCAAGGAATGTAACCAGCCTCTAGGAGCTGAAGGTAGCCTTTGGCTGGTGGCCAGCATAAGAATGGGAGTCTCAGTTCTACAACTGCAAAGAATTAAATTCTGCCAGCTAGGTGAGCTTGAAAGAGGACCTTGAGCCTCAAATGAAACTACCATCCCAGCCAGCGCCTTGATTTCAGCCTGATGAGACCCTGAACAAACAGCCCAGTCCTGCCGGAACTGCTGACCAGTGGAAACTGTAAGATAATAAATTTGTGTTTTAAGCCACTAACGTTGTGGTAATTTGTTATACAGCAATAGGAAAGTGATGCAAACAGCCATAGACAATATGTAAGTGAATGAGTGAGGAAGGATGTGTTCCCAGAAAACTTTATTTATTAACACTGAAATTTGAATTTCATGGAAATTTCATGAGTCACAAAATATTTTTCTTCTTTCAATTTTTTAAACTTTTTTTTTATATATATATATAACTATATATATATCAAACTGTATATATAAAAAAACTATATATATATATAGTTAGCTCATAGGCTGTACAAAAAACCAGTGATGGGATGGATTTGGCCTGTGGGTTACAATTTGGCAAACCCCATATTTAGGAAATTGGTGCATTTTTTGGTCAAACCCTCTGAACTTTGGAGAAGTTTTCAGGTCTCATAGGAATATGGACATCAGTCTCTAAAACACCCTTTTATTCATGATTTTAAATGAGTTGTAGCTCATTTTCTTCACATAGCATCGTAAGCGTCATAGCATTTTTCAAACACACAATACATTTTAAAATAATTTGCACTAATGGTCTAAATCTCTTCTAAATATCAAATCTAAACTGTAAAACCATTTAATTTATACATCAATTTCTAGCACTCAAATAGGTTCAAAGGAACATTGCCAACTTTAATGAAAATATTGTAGTTATTTATTTATTTTATATCCCCCAAGGAAGTACTCTTTATTCTTTTGATTGTATGATTCTAATTAGATGATAAACATGCATGGCCTTTCTTAAGACATGTTAATTAGTATGGATGTTGCTATAACAATCTTCTGGCAATTTATGTTTTCCGAATATCTGGTATATCATGCATTAATTTTTATCATTTAATGAAATTGCTAAATCAGGAATTTAGAATGCTGTGTTTAAACTTTCTTTAATTAGAAATGGAGATATGAAAGCAGGTAGGACTCTTGGAAACAACAGTTTGATAGCACAAGATAGACATGTTTTGGGGACACTTTCTGGATTAGTTTCCTGGGGCTACTGTAACAAAGTAGTACAAACTGGATGGTTTAAAATAACAGAAATGTATTTTCTCACAGTTCTGGACACTAGAAGTCTGAAATCAAGGTGTCTTCAGGGCCTGCCCCTCTGACACCTGGAGGGGAGAATCCTTCCTTGCCTCCTTCTAGCTTCTGTTGTTTTCTGGTAATCATGGGTGTTCCTTGGCTTGTAGATGGATCACTCCAGTTGTTGCCTCTGTCATCACATGGCCGTCTTCTCGCCCGTGTCTCTGTGCATCTTCTACTCTTAGAAAGACACCAGCCAGACTGGATTAGGGCCCACCCTAATAAACGATCTTAACTTGATTACATCTTTGTTTATTTCCAAATAAGGTCTCATTTTCAGGTGAGGTAGGAGAACAGGGTCTGGAGGTAGGGAACCTGAGGCTGATTCACACTGACATCCTAGAATGAAGTGGAAAGGAAAACCTAACTTTCCTTTTTTCTTTTTTCTCCCAGAAGCAATCATGAAAGCCACGGGAGTTTATTTATTTAATTTATTTCCCCTCAAACGGAGTCTCTCTCTGTTGCCCAGACTGGAGTGCAATGGCATGATCTTGGCTCACTGCAACCTCCACCTCCGGAGTTCAAGCGATTCTCCTGCCACAGCCTCCCGAGTAGCTGGGATTACAGGTGCCCGGCACCACACCCAGCTGGAAAACCTAACTTTCCACACCTAAGTAACAAAAGGACCAGAGGCTACTCCCTTTGCAAATCCCCACCTTTTCTGTGGGGCAGATGGGAAATTGAAAATACCTCTTTTTTTTTGCATAGGATTGTAACGTTGTAACTTCCCTTCAGCCTCGATTGCGGGCCAAGTCTTTGTTTGCACAGAAGTGCAACTTTGTAACTTCCCTTTAGCCTCTGATTGTGGGCCAGCACTTCATTTACATAAGTTGAACACCAAGTGGCCAATGGGAAACCTCTAGGGAGTATTTGTACACAAGAAGATTCTGTGTTGGGGCCCATGAGCGGCTGCTTCAGCCTACTCCCACCCTGTGGTGTGTAATTTCGTTTTCAATAAATCTCTGCTTTCCTTGCTTCATTCTTTCCTTGCTTTGTTTGTGCATTTTGTCCAATTCTTTGTTCAAAATGCCAAGAACCTGGACACCCTCCACTGGTAACAGAGCAGAATAGAGAACCCAGAAATAAAACTGCACACCTACAGCCATCTGACCTTTGAAAAACCTGTGGGTTTTTATCCAATTCTTTGTTCAAAATGCCAAGAACCTGGACACCCTCCACCGGTAACAACAGGTACTGGGGCTTAAGACTTCAATATATCCTTCTGCGGACATAATTCAACACATAACCCTTTCACAAAGAAAAAGACAAGAATTTAAGATAGAATAAGAATGTTAGAATAGAAATGGTCTTAACAGTTTTCTACAATAACCACCTACTTGTATTTTTGAAGAAACAGGCATGGAATGATTAGGAGATTTACCCATGGTCACACACAGATAAAAAAGGACAGAGCTGGAATTGGAAATTGGTAGTGACAGGGAAATTTACAAATCATGCAAATACATTTCTGGTTAAACACCTAAAACAGTCAAGGCTGGCCCTCGGAAAAAAGTGGGAATTAGGCAGCGCATCTGAGTCTTTCTCATCTCCCTTCATTTATTTCTGCTTTCTTCCCTGTTGGAACCTCCTTGGCCTCACTCTGTCCTCTAGGAGCAGGTGGTATATACTGAGCGCTTCCTATGTGCTGGACATTGTGCTAAGTCTTCCTCATTTAATTCTCATAACACAGTGGTAAACACTATTATGATCCCATTTTACAAATGAGGAAACTGGACTTCAGATATTATGATTCTGTTTTACAAATGAGGAAACTGGACTGAGATGCAAACACAGGCAGAGCTCACATTTGTCTTAAAGATTATTGTATACATCTAAAAGGTACAAATGCAATTTTGTTCTATGGATGTATTGCACAGTCTGAAATCTAGGCTTTTAGTGTATCCATGACTCAAATAATGTGCATTGTATCTATTAAGTAATTCTCAGCACCCACCCTCTCCCATCCACATTCTCTTTTTTTAACTACTCTCTTATTCTATTCCTCCTTCTTGCCATTGCGCCCCACCGCCATACACCTGCACACACTTTATGCTTTGCTCACAGTCCCTTCCTAGAGGCCCTCCTTAAGCCTGCCTTCCTAGACAGGGTTCTATATTTCAGAATCGTCTCTTGTACTCTGCCTGTTTCAGTGACGAGGTGGTACAGAAAGAAACCAGTTGGCTGTATGAGCAGGTCCTTCCAGGGGCAGAGGGTCTGTTTTGCAAATTTGAGGATTCAGAAACTTTGTCAGCTCTCCCAGAAGTGTTCGGGTCTAGGGATGGGATTGCCCTACCTAAATTTACAATTGGTTGATTGCAAATCCAGAATACCAATTTGTGGATTTACACTGAGAAAGATGCCTGCGAAGTGCTGCAACCAGAAAGCAGTATTGAAAAGGGAGAGCTGCCTAGACAGGGCCTTGCCAGGGGTCTGATAGCAAGATTCTAATGCCCATGAGTAGGGTGCTGGTCTCTCTGCCACCGAAGGGAACAGGACAGATGGGCTGGGAGTGCAGGCCATGGGCTTGACTCCTGGGTAGCACGGTCCCAGGGGCTAGGTTGTCTCAGGGCTTTTCCTCAGGCAACCTGAGGCAGAAAGCCACATACTTATGTGGAGAAGGGCCAAGGCTCTAGCAGGAAAGCCAGTGCCAGGACTTGAATTCAGAGGACAGAAAGGGGAACACGAGGAGGGAATTCAGTAGCTCAGGGAGATGTGGGCAGGCAAGCAGTGTTGGATTCTTTGCTCAGTCTGAGCCTTGTCTGGGACTCTTTGGATTTAGGCCTGCACAAGGTCATCCTGGTGATCAAACCCCAGCTTTCTCCTGAGGGCTTTGACTTGACCTGACCGTCAGGGCCTTGGCAGACTGTGCTGCCTCAGGCAGAAGCTTCATACTCTGGCTCTGACCACATAAATCCCAATCCTCCCCAGGATGGGAGGATTGAGGTATTTAGCCACAAATCTACGGTTCCTGAGGTCCCCATTAGCTGCCCTGGCAATGCCTCGCCACCCTCCACTCCCTGAGTCTGTCATGGTCCAAGAAGGAAAATGCAAAGTTCCATGGGTAGGTTTCCACTTTGGCAGACCAGAAAGTACAGGTGAGGGCAGAGTTGATTCCATGGCTGGTTCAGAGAGCAAGCAAGCTTTAGGTAAAAGTCTTACAACAGACATGTTGGATTTTTCCACTGTTGCTTGCTTTTCTCTTTTTGCATCATTGGATCCAGAAATCATTAGATTTTTTTGCCTCTGTCGTGTTATCTCTCACTTGCGGACATTATTGCAACAGGCATTAACTTCTTATTTTATTAGTAGCCATTAACCATACACAACTGATCTATGTGGCTTCTAAAGAGCCACATCAACTGCACCTGTGTTCCAGTCACCTCCACGGACAGCTGGCTTCAGCAATCACCCAGCTGGATGAGCTGCCCTGGATCAGAGCATTGTCTGTTAATCACTAGTGAGTACCAAGTACCTAGGACTCAGCGTAAATATTTGTTGAATAAATGAAGAAATATGTGATTGAATGTAAACTTTTGATTGTGGTCCAGTTTGTCCCAACATTCACAGAGAAGCAGACTGTGGTAACTGCTCTTACTTTTTGTTATTTATTTATTTATTGAGACAGAGTTTCACTCTGTCACCCAGGCTGGAGTGCAATGGTGCGATCTCGGCTCACTTCAACCTCCACCTCCTAGGTTCAAGCGATTCTTGTGCCTCAGCCTCCTGAATAGCTGGGATTACAGGCATGCACCACCATGCATTTTTGTGTTTTTAGTAGAGAAAGGATTTCACCACATTGGTCAGGATGGTCTTGAACTCCGGACCTTAAGTGATCCACCTGCCTCAGCCTCCCAAAGTGCTGGGATTACAGACACTTTTTGTCTTTTAAAAAGTACACAGGTGAGCAGGCTGGGCACAGTGGCTCACGCCTGTAATCCCACCACTTTGGGAGGCCGAGGCGGGCGGATCACGAGGTCAGGAGATGGAGACCATCCTGGTGAACACGGTGAAATCCCATCTCCACTAAAAATACAAAAAATTAGCCGGGCCTGGTGGCAGGCGCCTGTAGTCCCAGCTACTTGGGAGGCTGAGGCAGGAGAATGGCATGAACCCAGGAGGCGGAGCTTGCAGTGAGCCGAGATCACGCCACTGCATTCCAGCCTGGGTGACAGAGCGAGACTCCGTCTCAAAAAAAAAAAAAAAAAAGTACACAGGTGATACAGGAATCATTCTCATAAAAGATTCAAACATTATACAAGCATACAGAACAAAATCCTTACTACTCTGCCTCCCACCACCCATACCCTGAATCCCAGTCCTCTCCTTGAAGGTAACCACTGTTACCAGTTCAGTGGGCATAATTTCTGTCTACTTTCCATGTATTTACATACATGTAATGTACGTGTATTCATATATACATGTGCCTTTCTTCCGTAAATAGGATTACATTATATTTATTGTTTTGCAACTTGCTTTATTGTATTTAGCAATATATCATGAGCATCTTTCCACACCAATACATCTACATCATTGTCAATAATTGCATAGTATTGCACAACATGGACATATCATATTTTATTTAACTAGTCCTATATTGGTAGGTATTTTAGTGGTCTACAGTTGGTCTCTAATATAAACACTGCTGTAATAAACATCCTTGCTATCTGTATTTATTATATACACTTTAATAAGACAAGTTCCTCCTGCCCCATTATTCTTCCTTTTCAGCATTTTTCTGGTTATTCTTTCTTATTTTCCATATGAACATCAAACAAGCTTCTCTAGTCCCTAGAATAGGCAGTTTTACTGGGATCATGTTAGATTTGTAATTTAAATGAAAGAAAATTGACCTATTTTGATGTTGTCTTCTTATTTATTTATTTATTTTAAATTAAATTTTATTATGTTGTTGTTGTTGTTGAGACGGATTCTTGCTTTTGTCACCCAGGCTGGAGTGCAATGGTGCGATCTTGGCTCACTGCAACCTCCACCTGCCTCCTGGGTTCAAGCAATTCTCCTACCTCAGCCTCCTGAGTAGCTGGGATTACAGGTGCGCGCCACCATGCCTGGCTAATTTCTGTATTTTTAGTAGACATGGGGTTTCACCACATTGGCCAGGCTGGTCTCAAACTCCTGACTTCAGGCGATCCGCCTCCCTCGGCCTCCCAAAGTGTTGGGATTACAGGCATGAGCCACCACACCCAGCCATCTTTTCGTTTTTGTCTGAAGTTTCTAAAAATATTTTATTTTAAAATCATTACAAAATTAATAAATGTCTGTTGTAGAAGCTTTAGAACACTTAGAACTGTATGCATTAAAAATTACCAGCTTTCTGTGCCCCCCCTCCCCCCAATTCCTATTGCCCACAGGTAACCACTGTTATCAGGTCATGGTCTCCCTCACTTCTTCAAAAATAAAATCATGCTATTCCTGTTATCTGCAACTTGCTTTTTTCTTAAAATATTTTCCAAGTAGCTTTCCATGTCAGTACACACAATGCTGCCTCAATATTTTTAAACTGCTGCAGTTTATTACCCTCTGTGGATATGCTAGATTTTTAAAAATGCAATGCCTTGTGATAGACATTTGTGTATGTCCAAATTTTATTATTATAAACCATTTTATAATAAACAACCTTATTATATAGTATCATGCACATTATGTGATTTTCTATAGGATAAATTCCTAGCAGTGGAATTACCGGTGTCAAAAATTACTGTGCATTTAAAATTTTAGTTGATATTGCCAAATCACATTCCCAAAAGTTTTTAACAATAGTTAAAAGAGAGTATATGTTTTTCTAAAACCTTGTCATCACTAGGGCTATTAATCTTTTTAATATCTGCCAATCTGTAGTTTTCGTTTCTATTTCTTAAATAAGTGTCAGGTTGAACATCTTTTCATATACTATGTTTGCTGGTAATTTGTAATTTGCCTTCTATGATTTCTCAATTTTCATCCTTTGTCGATTTGCCTGCCTTTTTAATCTTATTAATTTTTTTTTTTTGAGACGAAGTCTCATTCTTGTCCCCCAGACTGGAGTGCGATGGTGTGATCTCGGCTCACTGCAACCTCTGCCTCTCAGCTTCAAGCAATTCTCCTGCCTCAGCCTCCCGAGTAGCTGGGATTACAAGTGCCTGCCACTACGGGATGGGATTTCACCATGTTGGCCAGGCTGGTCTCGAACTCCTGACCTCAGGCGATCCACCCGCCTCAGCCTCCCAAGTGCTGGGATTACAGGCGTGAGCCACTGTGCCCAGCCAATCTTATTAATTTATAACAGTCCTTTGTGTATTACCAATACTAGTCTTGTTACAAATACTTTCCCTATTTTTATGCCTCTTGGCTTTGCTTATGATGTGTTTTGGCTGTTTGTAAGTATTCAAATGTCATACAGGCAAATGTTTAAATCTTTTTTATTTTTGATTCTAGATTCCACGATTATAAAAGATATTCTCCTGGCTGGGGCATGGTGGCTCACAACTGTAACCCCAACACTTTGGGAGGCTGAGGTGAGTGGCTCGCTTGAGGCCAGGAGTTCGAGACCAGTCTAGGCAACATGGCGAAACCCCATTGCTACTAAAAATACAAAAATTAGCCAGTCTTTTAACCTGGTCTCAAATAAATAAATAAAAATATTCTCCTATATTTGATTTTACTCACTATATTGTTTTATTTTGAAATTGAAATCTTAATCCCATCTGGAATATATTTTTGGGCAGGCAGTGAGGTAGTGATCTAGCTCTATATGTTTCTACATGGCTAGTGAGTTAAGGATATTTAGGTGCTAGTAAAGGTGCTAACTCAAGCTAGCTTGATAGGGGAAAAAAAGGGAATTTATTATAAGAATATGGAGTATTTCTCTGGAACCCAGATCTTGGATGGAGCTTAATTTCCCAAACGGCTGGAATCAGAGAAGGAAATGGTGTCAGGAATGCAAAGAGTAGCTTGCTGCCATTCCTCAGCTCTGCTGCCCTCTGAGCCTTGGCTCCGTTCATCTCTGTGGGTGGGCTTTCTCGGCTACTTGGTCTTGGTGGTGGAAGCTGTGTATACCAAAGCTCAACACCTGAGCTTTTAGGTCTCCTCCCTTAAAGATGCCAACCCTTCAGACTGGAAGAGACTCTTCTCAGTCTAGCTTGGGTCAGGAGTTCACCTCTGATCCGACCAGCTCTGACTAGGGAACATGGGTCACTTAATGTGTACATGGCTGTTGTGGACCCACTCCTGAAACCTTATGAATTGGAAAGGAGAAGATAGAAGATAGAAGTTCTCTGGGAAGAATCACTGTGACCTGGGCAGACACATCTACACTATTTGTCCCAGCACCATTTTTTTTTCAGCACCATTTTTGAACAATGTGTATCCCCACTAATAATCTCTTCCACTCTCCTGGATGACTTTTACACGCTACATTAGCTATGGCAAGTGAACAGGGTTCCATTGCTAAAGGAGACTTAGAGGACTCAAATGACATTACTCACAAATACATAGTTTATTACAGGAAAAGGATACAGCCAGGGGTCTGGAGTGGTCAGGGACAGGATCCTATTGTCGTCCTCTCTAAGAGCCATGATAGCAGGACCCACTTTATCACTTGGACCACTGACATGTGCACAGAACACACTGACATGTGCACAGAACACCTCAGAACCAAGGAGTCCAAAATGGACTCTCAGATGGGCCAGTCACACAGGCATATTTTAACCTCAACAGTAGAGCCCTTTGAGGGAGGGACAGATGTCACACAGAGACCAGGTACAAATAATCAGTCTCACTGTTACCAATACATAATGTCGACAAGCTCGGACAAACCACCGTGAATCTCAAGACTCATGGCTACAAAACAACACCATTAACCAGTATGTTTTGTGTCTTGATAGGGGGTCAGTGTCACGCTAGAACTTCAGTAAAACAAGTAGGGCTAATTCTGGACATGCTGGAATTAACCTCACAACCCACACTTCTTCCTTTCTCCTCTGTTTTTGGGTTCTGGTGTTTTAACAATTTCTTGTGATCTGAAAAATTTTTGTAAGTCTTTTTTGCAGTAATTGAAGTCTGAATGTTCGATTTGATTTTTCTTTGGACATTTACTTCAAATTTACTTTAAAATTTACCTCTAAAACATCTGGACTACTTTGGAAAAACAACAAGGATTGATAACTCTGTATTCTATAGGTAGTGGCTAGCATTTGTTTTTTTGAGTCGACTTCCTAATCATTAAGAAAATTACTTTAATAATTCAGTTTACATCAAAATTCTCTTCTGCCTGCTTTTAGATTGAAAGTAAGTTCAACTTGCAGTATTCAAATACTGTGGAAACCCACTTAATTTAATGGTTTCTAAATCATGCAAGGCAAAAACATCTTACCTAAAGAGCTTTCAAAAACTCATAATTAAAACATATTTTGGAATAGAATTACTTTATTTCAATTTTGCTTTATAAACGGAATGAGCAGAAATGCATTAAACCCCAGAAACCTGCGTTACCACCATTTGGTGTAATTCACATGCTGAAAATGTAATATTTTTAAAAGGCCCCAGAAAGCCCATAATAGGCTGTCTTACTCATGTTTGTGCTCTCATCTTTGTTAAAGATAGCACACGGTCCCATTAGCCCCTGGGCATTGTCAGGCCAAATGCACAGAAGCATTAATTGAATACACAGAAGTCTCAATTAGGCAGTGGTTTTTTTGCCAGTAACATAAGGAGAAAAACATTTTGATTAAAATTGGGAATGGGGAGGGGCAATTTTGTTTCCATTGCAGATACCTGATTAGCTATGAAAAGGGAACGTGCTTTCTTTAAGCTTTGGGTTAATAATCTGAAAACCTATTTCTCTGGCTTTTGGTAAAAAAAAAAAAAAAAAAACAATCAGATGTGATGCTGGAGGCAGAAACCATTAAAAGAAAAGAATGAAAGCATAGACCACATTTTAAAACTCTATTAAAATACCATAAATAATGTTGAAATTCAAACAATATATCTAGAAAAAAAATATTTGCAACCTATATGAGATGATTCTAACTAATTGATTAACGTAAAAAGATACACGCTTAAATAGAAAAAATTGGCAAAGGACCCAGCTGTGACACAAAATAAGAAATACAAATGGAAATAAAGATTAAAATGTGTTCTGCTTCACTGGTGATCAAAGTCATGCAAATTAAAATCACATTGCTATTTTTTACAAACCTACAAGGGTGGCAAAGATTAGAAGATTATTAGTATCTGGTGCTTAAAATGGTGTGTGGAAAGGGCATTCTGAAATATTACTGATGAGAAAAGTCAATTGAGTGCAATTTGATAATGTGTCAAAACTCAAAATGTGCATACTTGTTATTTAACAATTCCAGAAATCAAAAATCTGTATTTTGCACATGCATAAAATATGTTCAAAGATATTAATTGCAGCATTATTTATGATTGCCAAGGAGATAACAACCAAAATGTCCATCAAAGGGAATCGGGTAAATAAATATGGTACCACTTAACTAAGCAACTTCAAAAATTAATGAAGTAAATCTATATGCACCAATAAGAAAAAAATTCCAAGAACTATTACTGAGAAAAGCAAGTTCCAAACCACAAAGTATGATCACTGTCTCTGGTACTTTTTGATGTTTATTTTTAAAAAGCCTTTACCTGGGGTATATTTTATATAAAATAATCATCACATATTTCAACTGTACAATTCCAAGCTTTTTAGTATATTTATAGAACTATGCAACCATAATTACAACCTAACTTTAGATTATTTCTATCTTTCTTTCTTTTATTTCAATAGCTTTAGGGGTTGATATGGTTTGGATATTTGTCCCTTCCTAATCTCACTTTGAAATACAATCCCCAGTGTTGGAGATAGTTCCTGGTCGGAGGTATTGGATCATGGGGGTGGATGCCTCATGAATGGCTTTGGTGCCATCCTCTAGGTGATAAGTGAGTTCTTGCTCTGAGTTTATGCAAGATCTGGTTGTTTAAATGTCTCCAACGTTAGCACCTCTCCACCTTCTCTCTCTTGCTCCTGTTCTCAGCATGTGGTATGCTCGCTCCTCTTCACCTTCTCCTATGATTGGAAGCTCCCTGAAGCCCACACCAGGAGCTGAGCAGATGTTGGTGCCATGCCTGTACAGCCTGCAGAACCATGAGCCAAATTAAACCTCCTTTCTTTATAAATTAGCCAGTCTCAGGTATTTCTTTATAGCAATGCAAGGATGACCTAACACGGGGGTATAAGTGGTTTTTGGCTACATGGATGAATTGTATAGTGGTGAAGTCTGGTTTTTCAGTGTACCTGTCATCCAAATAGTGTACATTGTACCCAATAGGTAATTTTTTTCCTTCTTTACCCTCTCCCACCCTCCTTCCTTTCTGAGTCTCCAGTGTCCATTATACCACTCTGTATGCCTTTGCATACTCATAGTTTAACTCCCACTTATAAGGGCGAATATGCGGTTTTTGGTTTTCCATTCCTAAGTTACTTCACTTAGGATAATGGCCTCCAGTTTCGTCCAAGTTGCTGCAAAATACATTATTTTGTTATTTTTTGATAGCTGAGTAGTTTGTACTCCATGGTGTATATATACCACATTTTCTTTTTTAAAAAAATTATTTTAAGTTCAGGGGTACATGTGCAAATTTGTTACACAGATAAACTTGTGTTTTGGGAGTTTATTGTGCAAATTATTTCATCACCCAGGTATTGAGCCTAGTACCCATTAGTTATTTTTCCTGATCTTCTCCTACCTCCTACTCTTCATCCTCCAATAAGCCCCTGTGTATACCATTCCCCTCTATGTGACCATGTGTTCTCCTCATTTAGCTCCCACTTATAAGTGAGAACATGTGGTATTTGGTTTTCTTTTCCTGTGTTAGGATGATGGCCTCCAGTTCCATCCATATCCCTGCAGAGGACATGATCTTACTCCTTTTTTATGGCTGCATAGTATTCCATGCTGTATATGTACCACATTTTCTTTATCCAGTCTATCATTGATGGGCATTTAGGTGGATTCCATGTCTTTGCTATTGTGACTAGACAACATTTTCTTTATTCACTCATCAGTTGATGGGCGCTTAGGTTGATTCCACATTTTTACAATTGTGAATAATGCTGTGATAAACACATGTGTGCTAGTGTCTTTTTAATATAATGACTTGTTTTCTGTTGGGTAGATACCCAATAGTGGGATTGCTGGATCGAATGGTAGAGCTACTTTTAGTTCTCTGAGAAATCTCCATACTATTTTCCATAGAGGTTGTACTAATTCACATTCCCACCAGCAGTGTAAAAGTGTTCCCTTTTACTGCATCCATACCAACATCTATTGTTTTTTGACTTTTTAATAATGGCCATTCTGGCTGGGTTTTTCTCACTGTGTTTTTATCTCACTGTGGTTTTAATTTGCATCTCCCTGATGATTAGTATTGTTGAACATTTTTTTATATACTTGTTGGACATTTGTGTATCTTCTTTTGAGAAGTGTCTGTTTATGTCATTTGTCCACTTTTTAAT